TGGAATAAAAATATGAAATTTTGAGCAAATTCCGACTTAGGTTTTGTTTTAAAATCTCAGGACAGGTCTTCTTCGCGTTCACGAGAAGCCTGCCGCTTTCACGAAGAAGCGGTCTTATTAACCTTCGTGTTTGCGAGACACACTATGCGTTCGCAAAGGTATGTCCCCCCGATCTTCGCATTCGCGTAGTGCATCATTCCCCTCCCCCAGTTCCCATTCTTCGCATTCACAATAACCTGGTCGTGTTCGCGAATGGTAAGACCACTAACGCTTCGCGTTCACAACCAGTGTCACGTGTTCGTATAGAAGGATTTCTCCTTCAGACCAAACTACTTTTCGCGTTCGCAAAATATCCTTCGTGAACGCGAAGAAGGATACATTTGTGCACCTGCAACAACAAAGCAACAGAAATATCTAAGTCAAAAACATCCTGAAACCTATCCAAAACTCACTTGAGCCCTCGGGGATCCAAACCAAACATGCACACATGTCTAAAAATATCATATGGGCCTACTCGCGCGATCAAATCACCAAAATAACACCTTAAACAATGAATTTAGCATCAAAATCAATGAAATTCTCAAGAATTCTTAAGGTTTCTATTTTCACAACTGAGGGTCTGAATCACGTCATATAAATTCCGTTTCTTACCAAATTTTACAGACATAACTTAAATACCATTTTAAGCCTGTATCTGGCTCTGGAACCAAAATACGTGCCCGATACCATCAAAATCAAGCGTTGTTAAATTTCTAAAAAAAACATTATATTTCCAATTAAATAATTTTCTTAAAAAATTCATTTCTCGGGCTAGGGACCTCGGAATTTGATTTCGGGCATACGCCCAAGTCCCAAATATTTCTACGAACCCTCCGGGACTATCTAATCACGGGTTTGGGTCCATTTACCCAAAATGTTGACCGAAGTCAACTTAATTCAATTTTAAAGGCAAAATTTAGCATTTTTCTCAAATTTTCACATAAAGGCTTTCTAGGTGCACGTCCAGACTGCGCACGCGAATCGAGGAGAGACAAAAGGAGGTTTTTAAGGCCTCGGAACATAGATTTGACTTCTAAAACAAGAGATGGCCTTTTGGGTCATCACATTCTCCACCTCTAAAATAATCGTTCATCCTTGAACGAACATAAACAAGTACCTGAGTAGGTAAAAAGATGGGGATATCGGCTCCGCATATCGGACTCGGACTCCAAAGTAGCTGCCTCGACATGCTGACCTCTCCACTGAACATGAACTGAAGGGTAACTCTTCGATCTCAGCTGACGAACCTTCCGGTCTAGAATAGCTACCGGCTCAACCTCATAGGCCAAGTCCTTGTCCAACTGGACAGTGCTGAAGTGTAACACGTGGGATGGATCGTGGTGATACTTCCGAATCATGGACACATAAAACACTAAATGTGCAACAGATAAACCTGGCGGCAACGCAAGTCTGTATGAACATCTCCAGTCAATCAAGGATCTCAAAAAGCCCGATGAACCTAGGGCTTAACTTTTCATTTTTCCCAAATCTTATCACGCCCTTCATGGGCGACACCTGAAGGTACACTTGCTCTCCGACCATGAATGCCACGTCATGAACCTTATGGTCGTCACAACTCTTCTTCCTGGACTGAGCTGTACGAAGCCTATCCTAAATGATCTTAACCTTTTCCAAGGCATCCTGAACTAAATCTGTACCCAACAATCGAGACTCTCCCGGCTCAAACCACCCAACCAGTGACTGACGTTGCCTACCATATAACGCCTCAAAGGGAGCCATCTAGATGCTCGACTGATAGTTGTTGTTGTTGGCAAACTACGCTAATGGTAAGAACGGATCCCAAGAACCTCCAAAGTCAAAATCACATACTCGGAGTATATCCTCCAAAATCTGAATAGTACGGTCGGACTTTCCATTCGTATGAGGATGAAATGATATGCTCAACTCGACCTGCGTACCCAACTCATGATGCACTGCCCTCCAGAAATGCGAGGTAAACTGCGAACCTCGATCAGAAATGATATACATGGGCACACCATGAAGACGAACGATCTCACGGATATAAATCTCTGTCAACCGCTTAGAAGAATAAGAAACTGCCACAGGAATGAAATGTGCTGACTTGGTCAGCCTATCCACAATAACCCATAATGTATCTAACTTCCTCTACGTATGTGGGAGTCCAACAACGAAGTCCATAGTGATACGCTCCCACTTCCACTCAGGAATCTCGATCTTCTGAAGCAAATCACTAGTTCTCTGATTCTCGTACTTTACGAGCTCACAATTCAAACACTAAGCTACATACGCAACAATATCATTCGTTATCCTCCTCCACCAATAATGTTGCAGCAAGTCCTGATACATCTTAGCGTCGTCCGGATGAATAGAATACCAGGAACTATGGGCCTCCTCTAGAATCAACTCACGAAGTCCATCCACATTACGCACACAAACTTGACCCTGGATCATCAAAACTCCGTCATCTCCAACTGTAACCTGCTTGGCACCTCCGTGCCGCACTGTGCCTCTAAGGACAAGAAAATGAGGTTCATAATACTGACGATCTCTGATAAGCTCCAATAATGAAGAACGAGCGACTGTACAAGCTAGAACATGGCTGGGCTTAGAAACATCCAACCTCACGAACTGATTGGCTAAAGCCTAAACATCCAAAGCAAGCGGTCTCACACAAACTGGAATATACACAAGGCTACCCATACTGGCAAACTTCCTGCTCAAAGCATCGGCCACCACATTGGCCTTCCCATGATGATAAAAGATGGTGATATCATAGTCTTTCAATAGCTCCAACCACCTCCTCTACCTTAAATTTAGCTCTTTCTGCTTGAACAAGTATTACAAACTCTTATGATCCATGAATACCTCATACGACACGCCATATAAATAATGCCTCCAAATCTTTAGCGCGTGAACAATGGCTGTTTGCTCCAAATCATGAACTGGATAATTCTTCTCGTCGATCTTCAACTATCGCGAAGCATATGCAATAACCTTGCCACCTCCATCCTCAGTTTGTTTGGAAGCACCTCATCTCCTTCAGTTTGGCATCAACGCCTAGGACATCCTGGACAGTGTTCCCTTGGTGCCTTAGCTCATAGGAAACTTATTAGTTGTTCATCATCATTTGATAATAATTCTTGTAATGTTTGTCATTTGGGCAAACAAAGTCGTTTATCATTTCCTCTATCAATTAATAAAACAAGTGCTCCTTTTCAGTTAATTCATTCTGATGTATGGCAAGCACCGGTGTCATCTAATTCTGGTTTTCATTATTATATTTTGTTCCTTGATGGCTTTACCAAATTTTCTTGGATTTATTTGATGCGACAAAAATCTGAAGCATTAGATAAGTTTAAGGAATTCTACACAATGATTTCTAATGTCTTTCACTCGTCAATTTCTTATTTCCAATCTGATGGTGGAAAGGAATATGCCAATGTCCTCTTCAATTCTTTTCTTAAAGAAAAAGGGATTCTCCATCGTGTTTCCTATCCCTATACATCAGCTCAAAATGGTAGAGCCGAAAGAAAGTATAGGCACATAAATAATGCTATTCGTTGCATCTTATTTCAAGTCAAAATACCATTCAATTTTTGGGCAGATGCATCATTACATGTCATCCATCTTCTTAATCTTACCCCTCTGCCAGTTCTAAAAAAAATTTCGCCTTACAAAAAATTATTTGGTCGTCCTCCTATTTATGAATCACTCCGTGTGTTTGGTTGTTTGTGTTACCCATTTGTAGCACATAATCATGTTACTAAGTTTCACCCACGTGTTGTGCCTTATTTATTTCTTGGTTTATCCCCAATTCATAAAGGATTCAAATGCTTGAATCCATATACAAATCGGATTATAATCTCTCGGCATGTAACATTTGTAAAATCTGTTTTTCCATATCCTTCTATGTTTTCTACTTCTTCTCAAATTCTCTCAAATGTGTTTGACTTTCGATCTCCTTCTACATTATCATCTTCAACAGATTTTACAACTAATTCCCATATCCCTATGCTCCTCCAACTCTTTCCCGTGCTTCCCACACAAGTCATAGTAGTCCTACAACTCTATCTCAAACTACAACAACTATTATCCCCAACAACTCTCCAGTTTCATCTTAAAGTTTGTCCCAAGATCCCGTAAATAGCTCCAACTCCCTAGCTTCATCTCAATCTTCAAGTAATATGCAAATATCACCGTCCTCATTATCCTTATCTCCATCTAATCTGCCATAAGATTCCAATATTAATTCTACCCCATCACAAGTTCAAAATTCTAGTCATGAGTTTAGCCCGTCTCCTACCTCTTCTTCACAACCAACAACCTCAATTCTTGCTAATTCTAACTGCCCTCATCACATGATTACGCGATCTTTGATTGGATCTCTTAAGCCTCGTATTCTCCCCTCTTTAGCTTCCTCTACAACATCTTCTTTGACAGAACCTCACACATTTGCTCAAGCAATTAAACACACATACTAGCAGCGTGAAATGAGTGATGAGTACACAGCCCTTCTTCAAAATCACTCATGGATTTTCGTCCCTTCTCCTCCCCAGGCAAATATTGTTGGTAGTAAATAGATATTTCGTATTAAATATAAACCTGATGGCTATATGGACAGGTTTAAGGTGCGCCTCGTTGCTCAAGATTTTTCACAACAACCGGGGTTGGATTATACTCAAACCTTGCTCAAGTGATCAAGCTTAGTATAGTGCGCTTGGTTATCTCCTTGGCATTACAAAATAATTGGTGTATGCATCAACTTGATGTGTGTAATGCCTTTCTACATGGTGAGTTAGATAAAGATGTCTACATGCACCAACCTAAGGTCTTTGAGCACCCGGATTTTCCTCATCACGTGTGCAAGCTTAATCGCGCTTTGTATGGCCTCAAACAGTCACCGAGGGCTTGGTTTAAGCGCATTATAACTTACTTGCTTGACATTGGGTTTAAACAATCTTCTGCCGACCATAGCAATAATGATTCTGCTTATTTACGTGGATGACATAGCTATATTTGGTTCTTCTAAGTCACTCATCGATCAATTAATTTTTTCTATGAGATCTAAATTCTCAATTAAGGTCTTAGGTCCTTTACATTATTTTCTTGGAGTGGAATTAGTCTCCAATTCTGATGGTCTTCTCTTGATGCAACAAAAATATATTAATGATATCCTCCTTCAGTTTGATTTGGCTAACTCTAAGCATGTTTCAACTCCATTACATAGCAAACAGGATTGGCATTCAACTTCTTCTTCTCTACTCTCTGATCCATCTATTTATCGACAAATGGTAGGTTGTCTTCAGTATCTTGCATTCACCAGACCTGATATTCATTTTGCGGTGAATTTGGCATCACAATTTCTTCATCAACCTCGTCAAAGCCATTTACTAGTTGTTAAACGCATTTATCTATACTTGAAAGGGACAAGTCACTTAGGATTACAACTTCATCGCAAATCATCTCATGTGTTAACCATTTACTCCGACTCGGATTGGGCTGGATGTACTGCTACTAGATGGTCGAAATAGGGTTTTGTATTTTACTTGGAGACAATTTGATTTCTTGGGCTACCAAGAAGTAGCCAAATGTAGCTCGATCAAGCACAGAAGCAGAATATCGGGCTTTTTCCGTTGCCGCTGCAAAAGCGACATGGTTGCAATATCTTTTGCGTGATCTTGGTGTCTTCATTGCATCTCCAATTATGGCCAAATGTGACAACATTGGTGCAATCCACCTTGCTCATAATCCAGTATTTCATTCTCGAACTAAGCATGTTGCACTAGACTATCACTTTATTTGGGAAAAGATGGATCAAGGAGTTCTTTTAGTATCTCATGTGCACACTTCTTGTCAATTAGCTAATTTATTTACAAAGGTTCTTTCTTTATCTAGATTTGCTCAATTAGTTTTCAATTTTCGTGTATGTCCCTTCCCTTAAGATTGAGGGAGGGTGATAGAGATAAGTTTCAAGAGTTTGTATTGCGTAGGAAATAGAGATAAGTACAAGAGTTTGTAATGTATAGGGAACTTGGTATTTATATTTGTATAAATATGTATAATGAGAAGCTAGACACAAGTTGCCCTATTCTTCAAACTAAATCTTCTCAGACTTCTCATCAAACTCTTTACTTCATCAGTGTTAAATTTTCCTTGTCTGACATGATGGAGTTATTGATTGATTGATTGAAATATAGGCCTTCTATCACTAGTTTTCTAGAGAGAAGGTAGAGACTATAGTTATATAATAGCTATAATTGGACATATACAAAATACTATGTTCATAATTTGAGTAGGGACCAATTTTAAACACTCCATAAACTAAAGCAGCTTAGCCCTCCGGAACTGTTCCATATTATCTTTATAATTGGACATATGTTATCATGAAAATCGTTGATGTCTACTTTTCTAAAGTATGTTCATAATTTAAGTACCACTCCGTAAATTAAAGCAGCTTAGCCATCCGGAATTGTTATAAAAAGAAAAATTATCTTTTTGTCATCAAACTGCTCATGTCTACTATATCTGCATTCCTCCGGAGAGGTCAAGCAATAATTAATTTGAAGAAACATGTTTCCACTCATAATTCTAATCAGCTTCT